AGCCAACTGGCATTGCCAACAAGACCCCCCCCCCCAACACAACGCAGGCGTCTTTTTTTTAATCAAACATTTTAAGATCTAGAAAGTAAATCTAAGACTGCACGAGGGCCACCCCTATATAACTAAGCTTCGTGAAGGAGGCTTACCCCCCTCCCATTCTCTCACGCTCCCCCACCCCACAAAAATACCGCAGGTAACAACCATCGCCGCTTTTTAAGAGCTTCCCCCCATAGTAGAAGCCAGTGGGGCCGATCGCCCAAAAGCCACGTTTCCTCCCGAAAAGAGACTCAACCCGTCCCAGGGCGATTCATCGGCAGAGATTTTTAGAATAGCCCTGGAAATAAAGTGGGGAATTTTCTTTTTCTTTTTAAGCAAGACAAATGCTTTTTCAAACATTCATTTGGTGCGTGGTGTGGTTATCTTTTTTAAAACTATTATTATTTCCGTACTTTTATTTTTTTATTTTATCGGGACCTAAGAATAACCGCAAACGTCACCTAGGAGGTGACGATGAAGAAATATATACTGTATATTTATTTCCTAATTGCAATGAAGAAATATATATATATTTCTTCATTGCAATTGTTCATTGCATTTAAATATATATTTCTTCATTGCAATTAGGAAAACTAATCGTCATCCGGTGTGATTTCTCCACAGTAGCGGGCAAATGGCTTTTTTGAAACCTCAATCCGTGTTGGAGAATTGAAGGCGGCTAAACTATTATTGAATTCCGGAAGATAATCGTGTTAGACAGAAGGCAAAAATGTTAATAATAATCGATCAAGCTGCGGAAAAAAATTCTCGGTCCGCCCCAAAGACCGGTCTACCTTCAGTCCTATAGAGGTATAACATCACATAACAGTGTTGCGTTTCAAAAAAATATTGTATCTTTCACTGTTTTATTTCCACTCCTCTCTTTAATTCTGTGGTGGTTCTAGCAAAACGACCGGAGGACGTTAAAAGGATGGGAAACGGATGAAAAAAACTAAATAATGTAGTGGGAGGGCGAGGCGCGGTTAAAAGGAAACCACCAGATCCAGCGCCGCCAGCTCGGTTAAGCACTAAAAACTCCGAAAAATAAGAATAAAAATCGCCTCCAACAAGAGATCTTCAGGCTTTTCCTAGACTTTACCTTTTTAAATGTCCACCCTTCATTTTAAAAATCAGGAGTATTTTAAGAGAGCTGGGGTTGATCATATATAGAAGCACAGTAATAATAATTCACAACGGTCTAACTTATCGGATATAAAGGTAATGATCTAATTTAAAAGGAGCGGAGGCCGTATCTTTATGAGGCCTCGAAACCCCAATCAAAAACGCATTGTTGGTGTTGTCCTGGTTTAATAGGGTTCATGGACCACAGGAATGAATTTATTTTAGGTATAATTTTGTATCTCATTTGGTTATGGATGCCCAGATAAAGACAGACAGCCTAAGGTGGAAAGATCACATTCTTGTACATGTTTACTTCCGAGTCAACCACATTACATTCAGGAAGACCCGAGGTTGCAGCCTGTGTCAGTTAAAAGAAATTTAAACTGCAATATTAAACTCAGCTGAGAAGACTGTCAAATCTACCTCCAAGGAAACATTCCTAGAACTCCCATTGTCAGCCTGTTAAATGAATAAATTCCTTAGAACATAATTCCATTTACTTCTGAGTAAATCTATGTTAGATTCGCTCCCTAACAAAACCAGAGGGAGCCCTATTTTTTTTAACTCAATAAAATCTCCTTCTTTCAGAAGAAGAAGAATTAAAAGCTGTTTAGATACTTATAAACCTACTTATGCTTGCAATATCATAAATAAACGTTTTAACCCGTGGGCTAAGATTAAAACAGAGACGGGGGAAATGACATAAATAGTTTGAGGGAAGGAAAGAATGAAATTATATTACCTACGTCTATGTATGGTACAACTGTCTGTTTTGGGGCATAATACTCAAAAACTAACAGAAAATTAAAATGAAACTTTCGAAAATACATGTTCAGTAGTCACAGAGCAAAGTATTGCTCTACTATTAATGTAGGGTTTATATATATTTCTATGAACATATAAATAAATATGTATTTCTATAGATAAATATATTTATATAGGAAATGGAAAGATTTACTCAGAAACAAGTCCAGTGGGACTACCTAACCACATTCAGAAGCTTCAGCAAAAAAACTTATGGAAATAAAAACTTTATTCTGGAGTTTTTAACTTCTGCCTGTGCTCAGAATTATACTCCAGAGCCAGTGTATGGTGTAGTAGTTAGTCTGCCACACAGAAATGCAGGTTTAAGTCTTGAACTGGTCAGGAAAATCACTGGATGGTCTCGGTCCAGCCTCTCACCCTCAGCCTGACCTCCCTCACCTGATCGGTGCTGGCATAAAAGGAGGGAGAGCAAGCATCCGGCACTTGAACTCACAGGCGGAAAAGCAGGAATCACAATAAAACATCATCTGCACTGGAACCAATTGTCCTTAATCCCAGATTAGGACCAAAGGAAGGTGTCCTGGTTGTATCCAACTGAGTGGTGTGAGAAGGAGAGGGGAACTTTGCCCATGCTCAGAGGTATTCTGTCTTGACTCCAGAAAGGCAGCCTAGAGCCAGCAGAAAGTCTGAAACTGGCACTCTGTGTTTCTTGGCAGAAGGGGAAGAGTCCGAGACCAGAGTGAACATTAGGATCTGAATTTAGTGCAGTTTTAGCTGGTAATGGGGATAGTAGTGGGTGATTGTCAATGGGCTGGCCTGGTGGATGCCAAGGGGAAGGCCAGGAGGCAAATGATCTCCTCCGGATGGATGGAGGGGCCCGTCTAGGTAGAGGGTGGAGGAACTGAGATCCCATCTAAGACATCCATCCAGCTCTCTGTTAATACTCTAGGCAGGCAAGATCTGTGTTCTCCTAAGGATTGGGCCCGTGTGTGTTATGTGTGTGAGAGAGAGAGAGAGAGAGAGAGAGCAGACAAGACATCAAAGAAGAGGAAGGGGGCTGCTTTAGGTGAAGATGTGGGCAGCTTCCAAAAAATTATTTAGACCCTCCAACCCCACAAGTTTTTGAAAGGAGGTAAATGAAAGCCTGTTTCTGTCCTGTCTCTGGGGATGCCGAGATGGGGGACACCCTTCCTTAGAAGAAGCCCTCAGGAACAATAAATAAAAAATAAAAAAAAAATACAGCCTCTGCTTGGAGGTCTTGAAATGAATCACACACACACCACACTCTCATTTCTGGCAGGACGTTCACTGTCTTCCCCCCCCCCCATGTATATTGTAAGCGCCTTGGGGCAAGCACCTCCCTACAGGCACACTTGAGCCCGATTAACCTTTTGATTTTAAACGCACACACACACACCGATTGTATCCCACAAGTTCCCAGTAAGACGGTGCAGTTAGGAAGAGGGAAAGGCAGGCGATTGCGGCCTGCAGAGAGCAGGGAGAAGAGGCTGGGGGAGGAAGAGGTCGGACGGGTGGCAGGGACAGAACAAGGCCGGAGGCATTGGGCGAGGCAGGGAGGAAGAAAACGAAAATACCGGCAGATCGAGGATCGATCGGGAAGGGCGACTGTGAAAGTAGTAAAGGAAGAAAGGAGGGAGAAAAGAAATGAAAATCGGAAGAAAACAGGAAGGAAGGAGGCAGGCAGGCCCGGAAGAAAACAGGAAGGAAGGAGGCAGGCCGGCCAGGGAAAATGCTTGAGGAGAGAAGGAAAGAAGGAAGGAAAGGGGGGAAGAGAGGAAGGAAAAGAAGGAGCAAGGCGCACCAGCGGGGAAGAAGAGAGAAGGGCTTTCTCGGGAGGAGGAGGAGGAGGCAGGGCCGGAGCGGGCGCCGACCTACCTGCGAGCGGCAGGCCCGCG